TGGAGGGGACTGGGCTTTCACCCATGTGGCAAAGGTGAAGGGACTCAGACGAGTCCAGATGGAGACTACTTCTTGTTGAATTAAATACTTCCTATTCATTCAAATCCCCCAGATGTTACGCAGATGTTACCACAGTGGTCATGAACTGTCCCCTCTCTGCTCACACAGATCAGGTTTCTAACTGCCCTCGGCTCCCTGCTTTTTCTATCATCAGGACAGAGGTGGGGTCTCTCTCAGTGCTGTGGTGTACACTCTGGGCTCACCATGAGCTGGGAACAGAGAACAAGGCCAGCCCTGTCCTGCCCTCCACTCCATTTTGCAAATGGCCAGCGGTCATCGCAACCCAACACTGGCTATCATTATGGACAACGGAGATTGACGAGGAAACCATGGCCATGAGACACACACCCGTGAGTCACAAGCAATCTCACTCCCAGATCCACATTAAAATACTATTTAATTGAAAATCCATGAGATTACACATTCACTTTTATTCTTGGAAAGGTTGGACTTCTTAGGCCTCTTAGTAATGTGCCTCATGACCCAAGTACCTCCCATCCAGGCTCACACAGTTCCTGTGTGCAAGTGAAGACACCCACAGGGTCCCCAGAAGGACCAGGGGAGCCTGACTCAGTTCCTTCCCACTTATGAGAACCAGGCTGACCCACATGCAAATTTCTCTGCAGGCTCCAGGGTAAAACCCTCCTTGGGCTGTGAGCTCACAGCTCTCTCCTCACACAGGGCTGAGGTCTCTGAAGAAGGCAGAGCTGTGGTCTAGAAGATGAGGCTGCTGGGTCTTCTCCTGTGCCGGGGTCCTGCCTCGGCGTTCCAGTGAACAGTACCTGAAGTGGGGGGCGAGGTTTAAGGAAAAAAAAGAGACAAAGAGACAATGAGGGTCCGGAAGGACTGGAAGCATTCTTAGCAACCAGCCCCGAGTTTATTTTTCCTCCCCATTATATACCCCCCAGAGTACATGTAACACAGAAGGGATGAATATGCATAACCTCATTAAAAGTACATCATTAGTTACCAACTAGAAACCTGAAGGTCAGTGGAAAATTTATAGGGTCAGTTTCCCAGGAAACTATCT